TATATATATATATATATATATATATATATATATATATAATGTGTATTTATATATATTTAATTATATATACTTACATTTATATTTATCATATTATTTGTCATATTATGCCCTTTATTTAGTTACATTTAGTTAAAAATATTGTAGTGTAGTAAGCAAAACTCCAACCGTTGTAACCCCATCGTCATAAATGGCATTTTAAGGTATTTTGTGTTCTTTAACCATGCACAACTGTCAAGTAACCGCTCTTGAGGTCAATTAAGCTGAATTAAAACAATGTTGTCCCTCAACCCCTTTACACTATATTTAGTTTAGCCAGTCTTCATGTAGTACTAAGGTTGTGTGTAATGTCTGATGGGTAACATTTACTCTATTTACACATTTTCCCTAATCAGTACAGTTTTATTCCTACTGCATTACACTCCCTGCAGTACTATTTGGAATGGCACTTGATTGGCTGATCGGGTGTGAATACAAAACTTCTCAGAGACCCTGTCTTTTACTGTGAGTATGCAGCTGAAAAGCTGAGGATGTGGATACCCAATCCAGTTATCCTCATTCTATCTGAACAGCACGAAGACTGGAAGCAGGTCGGAGTGTAAATGTGAGAGATCTTGCTGATGCTGCTAACTCTCTGCCCGCAGCTGCTGCATCCAACCCTCCTAAGTTCGTTTAGAATTTATGCACTCACTCAGCAATGTTATTACAAGTCAGAGTTTATTGGGAAATTGTTACATTATGTGAAGTGTCTAACAAATTGCTTATGCTCCTGTAATTGGGTTACAACAGGCGTGCTCTCCCATTGGTGAGATTAGGCAGGCTGGGCTCCCACCGATCTCACAACCCAAGCAGTAATTTTATTTGTCTTGCCTCGCTCTCCCTCTCCTAACAACATGGCTTTCTCTGCCTCCTTGCCAGATGTCTGTTTGGAGGAGCAGGCTTGTTTTTTGGCCCCTGACAATGCAATTACAGCCCCGCCGATTGTCGTGTGTGTGCATTAAGTACCTCCCCCAAAACGAGGCCGATTAATGAAGGGGCTCCTCGGGGCCGAAGAAGAAGCCCCAGGCACCCACACACAGAGGAGAGGAACTGTTGTTGGGGGTCAGGCCGCTACACATGCTCCATATTAATGCAGGTGTGTATGTGTGTGTACGTTTGAAACTACATTACATAGTGTGGCTTGACCACAGGATAGGATGCTACACTTTTACAAGTTTCCTGCCAGTGAAGAGATACATGTGTATACATCATGGTTCAATATTTTTAATAAATAAATAGCATTTTTATAATGCAATTAATTATTAATATTATTACATATTATTGTATTAATAAATATATCACCACAGAGGAAAAATTGGTAAAACTACAAGGAAAATATATTACATTTTTTGCATGCATATTCATGTTTTAGGCCATATAATGATACCCTTCCTAATTTAAAGGTATCTATGTATTTAGTATAAACACCCATTTATATAGTGTGAAAATATAGATTAGCAATGATATACAGAATAAATAAATGGTGTTATATTGTGACTGTACTGAAGGCAAATTATATTAATATTATATGGAAATATTGAACTTATATTAATTTGACAGCATATACTTTTCTGCTCTCTATTAGAGTAATGTTGTATATGCGTGCACCTAAAAACTAAAATGATCTTTGTTTGTATGAAGCTAACAAAAAAAGAGAAACATTTTCACAATTAATGTAGTTCCATAGCAGCGTATTAAATCATTGCGTTTATATAATATTGTAAGTTAAAAATATTCTAACTGAAATTGTTAAATGCGACAACCCTAAGGATTTTGAAGTTTGAAAACTTTTTTTAGCCTATGCACACACCATACCAAAATAAGAGATTAGTATTGATACTTTCAATGGATGATTTTATCTGAAGCAACTTGGAGTGTATTTAAACAGTGTATTTTATCGTGATATGTTCACTGAAGAACCCATAACCATGTTGTTTTTAACCACATGCTTTAGTAGTTGAGTTACACAAACACAATAATCAGTCTGTATATACATCAGCAGAATGTGATTTATTAGGTGAATTGTACTAAGCAGCTCAGTGTCTGTGTATTTATATATATATATATATATATAAAACAAATAAAGAGAATCGACCCTGTCTGTAAGGTATATGAAGACTGAAAATGGCTTAATTTTTATAATGTTCCCCTGACAAGAGATTATCCAACATAGTAATGGCAAATCAATAGGGACTTAAGTTGTCAGGAGAAACAGATAACATACTAAAAGGGATTGATTAGATGAATTTTCTCATTTTATGAAAAAGTCTATACCAAAGGTAGCTGCAAAGCTTGTTAAATAGAGGGCAGACTTATCTTTGCAGAAAAAAAAAACATATTAAAGAGCTGAAGGCAGATTGTTGAAGGGAAGAGAGAGAGACTAAATGGAAGAAACTGCTGACCTGTGCTTTTTTGTCTGACGTTGAGCTGATTTATAACGATGGATAAGCTTTGTCTAAAGGGGGAGTGAACGATGTCTCCATGTAAATGATCTTAAATGAGATATCACATGCTGTTGTCACAGCGGGAGCTCTTGCAGTGTGGAAACGGAGGAAGCATCATGGGACTTTTTAGTCCTTTAAAACATGAGGATGATTCTGAACATCTTAGGCTTTTCTTTACATGTCTTGTTCTACAATTATGGTCATTTAAACGACACAAAGCAATTGTTTTATGTTGAAATTAGGATGTTTAAAATGGTGACACAATAATCAGCTTTGGTTCTTATACTGTATTAGAAGAAATATTCTTGTCATTTTTGAAGACTATCTAATGTAAAAGCACAGACACTAATGCATAATTTAAGATGTAGCATTGTCATGTAATCATTGCAATATCATAATTATACACACCTCTCCTGAGTAATAGTACATTTAAGGTATTGTTTTATGCTGAAAACTGAACAGCTGTGTTTCTGAAGTACTTTGTCTAAATGTCTTGGGAATTTGGGTGTCAACAACTGTCACCAAAACACGCTACCACTGATTGTATTTGGATGCACAGATGTTTATATCCTTATGTGAAGGGTTTCTTATTTCAATTAAGCAGTGATAACTGTGGGTGCTATTTGAGCATTTCTGCAAGAAAACTAATTAGTGGAGGAAAGTTTGCATGAGGACTAAGGTTTGGACTTCTCTGGTCCGCTGGCTGTAATTTAATATGTAATATTTACATTCTGTATTGCTGTAGCACACCTTAAAAGATGCGAGCTGTTCAGTCATGAACATATAAACATACCCCCCTTTATAGTTGTGCTCAGTATAGTGAATAGATTGTGGTATTTGGGTGACATCTGGTCCCTGACTGTTCAAAGTGTAGCAGCTGTTGCTCCCCATGATGATGTTCATCTTCCTCACAGCCATGTGACACTTTAAATGTTCTTGTCTCCACTCCAGCTTCTCAGAAACTCTTTGAGCTGTCACTTACCAAGTCTGCATCTCAGGAAGTGCTTTGTCCTTTCATTATGTATTATCTGTGGGGTCAGAAACCAAGTAGTTTAGCTGTTGTTTTGTTTATGCAGAAGAATATATAGATGTTTTTGAGATGTTGAGGTGAGTGCTTTTGGTTTAGATGTTGAATAACAAATGTTCTTATTCAGAAAAAAAAATCTGGAGCTGAATATTTTTTATTAAGTTGCATTCTCTCAACTCTACTAAAATGCTCTGTGTTTTCATACACTTGAATAATTGTTTAATTGATTTGTGAGCATACAGTCTGAATGCAGTGATAGAGAAAATTGGTCACATCTGACACAAACCGAGAATTATTACTGTTGTAGGATTTGTCAATCAGAGTAAATCAGAGAAATTACTTATGGTTGTTTAAATTTTATAGATATAAAATACATATTGTTTACATTTACATATACATTTATATGCTAAGTTTCAAATGTGTTTTTTAACAGTCATATAGCGTTTAAAGTTTTGAAGTCTTTTTATATGCTCACTTAGGGTGCATTTATTTGATTTAAAATACAGTAAAAATAGTAACGTTGTGAAAGATTATTACAATTTAAAATAAGTGATTTCTATTTGAATATATTTTAAAAATGTAATTTATTCCTGTGATTAAAGCTGAATTTTCAGCACCCAGTCTTCTGTGTCACATGATCCCTCAGAAATCATTCAAGAAACATTTCTTATTTTATATTTGTTTTTTTAATAGTATAGGCAAATATAGTATAGTCATAGATTTAATGGTTCCTTAAAGGATTTCGAATTGTTCAGGAATAGTTCAACTAATGGTTCGTAAATAATAATTCGGTGTTTAAGTGATTTTATTGTTGTTCTTTTGAAGATAGCTGGAAGTGAAGTGTTTTATGAAGTGTTCCTTTCTTTTGAAGGGCTTGATCAATAGTCTCCATATTGTGAAAACCTGGTGCTGATTTCTCACTATTGTTTGGCATCCCTCCTCCAGCAGATCTACGCTCTCTTTATGAACTATGTGATGAGGAGACACATGCTGCTCACTTCATTTCAACAGGGCTGACTGTCAACCTCAACAAAAGAGTCTGACCCCTGCGCTGCCTCCTCTCTGCAGATTAGGGCAATTCCCCATGCAGATGTCTTGTGCCCAGCCTTGTGCGTCTCCCCAGCGCCTTTTACAAATCCAGCTTTGACTGATTATGTCCTGACAGCTCCAGTGTTGGCTCACTTACACAGATTGACATAATCATTAGGGGGTGGGCTGACCCAGACCCAAAGCACCCCGTTTTATCTGTTTGAAAGTGGCCCCTCCCACTTCTCCACATTCTTCACTAAAGCAGCTGAGACTCTCACACTCTTGCACAAAAAGAGGCAGAACCCCTCGGCCCTTCCCTGCCCACCCCTAGCATTCATCATCCTGAAGTTAATTGGTGTGGGCTTTAAGCAAATTTCCTCCACTCAAACCATCAGCCTGCTGCCTGAAGACGCAGTGCAGAACGTGACTGCTGACCCGCCGCCATACGCTGCCTATTGATTTAACTGACGAAGCAGACCGCTCTGATAGAATTCCAGGCTGGAGAATGCATTATCCCTATGGAAGACAAGAGAAGGGAGGGAATGTGGCCATCAATATGCAAGATGAATGGGGGTTAAACTCAACCTTGATTTAAGGTTTCTGCTTGAACTTTCCCAGAGCTAATCTACCCCTTCACTGTCCTGTGCTAAAATCACAAACGCTTTGCTGGTGCCTGACTAAGTGTGGTCTTTATTGAAATGCCAGGAGATGAATAGATCAAAGCTGAAGGAACAATCTTGGTTTTAATTGATTATAATTCAATTGATCTAATGGAAAAAGGAACCGATGAGCGCATAATTTTCGCTAAATGAAAACCTCCAGTTTATTTATGATTTAAAATCCACCTTGATTAAGACGTCACATATTAATGTGTCACATATTAATCTACAAACTACTCTCGGACCGGAGAAACGAGGCATTAGTCTTACGACCGAATGTCTTCACGTCCCTGTAATGAATGCAGTTCACTGACCCATAAAATAGAATAAAAAAAGCAATCTTGCGCTGTGGATCCACATTATTACTATTTTCCCCTCCTCCTCTTCATCCCTGCCTTTCCCTTAGATCTGCTGAGGTTTCAGTCAGGAAGAAATGGGCGTTTGTGACAAGCCTCTCGCCGTAGGGTTAATTAAACAGCTCACTTTAGCACTGCTGCTGTCATTCGCCCAAACACGGATCCATCAGTCACGCACACACTTCATCCCCACGCGCACACACCATACACGACAAAGTGTCAGAGGTTCCCGGTCCCACGGTGACGGCCCGGGAACATTAAATCTTATCTGGTTTATCAATTATTCACGTGATTGCTCGCACGGATTAGTCTATAGTACTCAAGGCATTGCTGAAATTTATCACCCTTCTGCCATCTTTGCATTTGCAGCATGGAGTGGGCGCCTTTCCAGTGCTGTGCTGCTGGGTGGAATATGGGTGATGTATTTTTCTTATTTTATACCCAGCTGGAGAAATGGCCTTTATTATGCCACTCATACAGCTGTCCAGACAATCCTTCAGCAAATCACTGCTTGGCACTTTACTTTATTGTGTTCATTAATAAATATCCTTGGCTTTCACCTAACACAATTCACAAACCTCTAAATGACAGAACTGTATGTGAACTAAGCACATAAAGCAATAATGCATGCTGTTCTAAACTTCTTGTTGTTGTTTTCATGGAACACAAATGATGAATTTTTGAACAATATCCTGGCTGTCCGTGTCTATGTTTTGAAAGTGAATGGGGAATCTCATTTCTGTCCTGCAGGTTTGAAACGACATTAGGGTGAGTAAATGATTGACTAATTGACATGTTTGTTTGTTTATTTATTTATTTACTTATTTATGGGTTTGTTAGTTTGCTTTATTGTTTTATACATTTTATTAATTGTTTTATTGTATTTTATTGGGGTTTTTTTGTATTGTAGTTTTTGCTTTGTTTTATTCTATTTTATTTATTTTTTGATTTGTTTCATTCCATTTTATAAATTATTTGTATTTTTTTTATTGTATTTTATGTTTTGTTTTATTATTTTTATATATTTTGTATTTTTATCTTTTCTTTTAGTTTTATTCATTTAATTTTTTTATAATCTGAATTTTATTGAATGTTTGTTTATTATCTGTATCTGCCATGAAATAGCCTTTTAAAATGATATGGCAATAAACTAAAATACAAACAAACCATTTTATTTTAATGCTTAACCATCTGCATTGAAACTATATGTTCCTCAATGATTTTGGAAATTTGCATCAGGAGTGATTGTGTCAGTAGTCACCATTTCAGTCTGGTGTGCCAACATATCATCTGCAGTGACCTCCCCACATTAGGACGGTACATAGAAACTCAATCTAACATGGTGAACAAATTGTCAACCCCAGGGACGATTGGATGAATCAAGGTTTCTGTGGGTTTAATGCAGCATAAGCGCAACATATCAGAGCCATTGCTACTTCTCTCCTAGCATATGTGGCCTGACATTTAACAGGAAGACACGGAGCAGGAAAGCACTTTTCCAGCCCTTTAATATGGCACAGCAATATGAGCATCCAGAGTCCTGCTCTCCCTCATAGATTCATACAGGCTTAATGTACCTCTCCCAAATCCCATTAGCTGACAGGCTGTTGAAACAGCTTGAATATGTGAGGCTCATGCTTGAGGGATCGGGCCAAACTGGAAGGCCTGGCACCTAGTCAACTCGACAGAAGTGGCTGCCTCTCCTCTTTAGAAAGGCACAGGCGACAAAGAGCTCATCAGTGCTCGCCACTCAAGAACCAGCAGGGAGGCAAACCATACAGTAGTTAACTCGCTAATATGGGCAGTGTGTGAGCAGTCGTTGTACGACTTCCAGAACTCATCGTCCATTTAGCCAGAGCCCGCTACTGTTAGTGGCGCACAAAGAGGCTTTTGTTGTTTTGATTTTTTGATATATATATATACACACATGCTGTTACAGGAGGTTTTGGTCTTCGAGGAGGTTGCATGACTAAAAGCTGTCCAGGCGCGTTATGAATGACAGTGCTGTTTTAGTATTTTTATATACAAGTATAGTGTTTATTAATAATATTTATTACAGTAGGTTTAATTTATTTTTATTACAGTTTTAGTACTTCAGCTTTGGCAACATTTCATTTCAATTTTTTTTTTTTTTTTTTCATCTAATAGTTATAATTTATTTTATTTTAACTAAAACAACACTAGAATATGACTGATGAATGTTGCCACTGCACTCAGTATTTTTTTAAAAATTGTAGAACACTTTTATCATGGGTCTCCAAATGAAATTGTTCATTTTTCTAGGGTCCCCCTTCAAGATCCAGTCCGAGTCCTGTTCAAGCCCAGGCTCGAGAAAAAAGGTCCAGTTTTCTTGAGTGAATTATCTCGCCTTAAAAGGATTTTGATGTTTACTCACACAATCTGGAACACTGTAATCTGAATCTATAACACTTGATGTGTAAATTTGGAATGCAGTAATTACTGTCTTTTATAAATGCACTAATAATTGTCTCTAATAATAGCTGTTTACCATTTACAGATGCCCGGTTTGTGAATATGTCCTCCTACCAAGACAGAAAACTGCATCACACTGAACCACAGTCTAAGCTGGTACCACACCGAAAACACCTAGCAGTCCTGCCAAAGTAAAGTTTGAGGTAACCTCCCAAAATTGACTAGGATGGGGCATCGTTGTTCAATGTTCAATCTTGGAAATATTTGTCCAGTGTGTTTGTAGACGGTGACATGGTTTTAGTGGCATGGTTCAAAATCTGCACACTACAGGTACAGGCACACGGGAGGTGTATTTGAATAGCTAGTCTTGTATTTCTTTTAGTAGTTTTAGTTTTTCTTGGATGGGCATTGCCCACCTGTAGCCACCCCCTTGAGCTAAATTTATCAAAATCATTACAAATTATATACTACCCATCATGCACTATAATTGCCATTGTGCAGAATTTTCATCAGAGCGAATTCCCAGTACAAATGCCTTAATAACTACACATTTTTCTGATAGTTTATATTGTTTGTTAGATTTTGAAAGTGTCTTGACCAAGAGACCTTCCACGATTAATGCACATTTTCATAAATGAAGAGATATTCTAGTATCAGTTTTTCTAATGAGATAAGAAGATGTGGCTTGTCCAAAGTGAATATGAATGCCATTTTTCATCATATTCATCAACCACTCCATGCTGATGGGTTCATTACCATCAAATTAGAGATAAAAATCGTGCTACTGCCCTGAAATGATGTGGAAAGGCAGCGCTGATAAGATTAATGATGAATACATTAGCGTTGAGCTGGCCATAAGACACATCTCAGATTTCTCGCCATGAGCACACGCTGAACAGATACCACTTATAATCGAGTCGCACCAGTGCTGACATCATGCTAGAGTACGGCTTTCACACACACACACACTTACACACAGGTGAGGGGGTCAAATCAGTAAACTGGGTCCAGAAAAGGTGCTGAATTAGAGCTTGTTCATATTTTGTGGCTCTACAGTGCTGTTTGTCTCATTGGCAGTGCTGTGCATAGTTACGATGTAGACTGTGTGCTCATCGGCTTGGCGGTGGCAGACATCGCAGAAGTCAGGGGACAGCCGACGGACGGAGCCAAGACTCTGTGACAGATCGCCACAGCTGACAGCCTTTAACGTCCCATCTAATTTATGTCGTGGAGGGAATGGGAATGAAATGTTAATAAAGAATCTCTGCATCACATATTCTTAACTGCAGCCTCAGGCCTCACTCTGCATCTGTCATGGAGATGAATACAGAGAAAGGGAAGGAGGAGGGAGTACAGGGTGGCACAGAGGGATGGCGAGTTATCTTTACACATGTAGCTGAAGCCAAAGTCATTTTAGACTTAAAATGAGCAGGCTTAACAAGCTCAACAAAATGAGTACCGTGTTTACAAAATAAGCCACTATATTTGCTATTAGTTCCGAATCGTAGATTATATCCTGATTGAGTGTTCAGGCAGTTTGAATTGACTGAGTGCGTGGCTAACATTTATCTCATGTCTCAAGGCTGTCATTAAATAGATTCTCTTGTCTGATTAGTTAAACATGATATTGAGCTGTTTGGATTTCCTCCAGCCAGGATGACAAATGAGCCGGGTCATCTTACACAGCCAGGCCTGAAGAGGGCAATGTGTGCTTGTGTCAAGATTAGGCATGTTTCTCACACCTTTCAATAAATGACTGCAAATTCTGCCTAAATGACTGCCTATGCTTTTTTTTTTATGTTAAGCCTAGTAAGTCCATATATGTGTCCAAGACTGTGTCTTGATATTTTCCAAAACAAGTGCTCTAAAATATACTAGCAAAGTTACTGTATATAAACGAAAAGTGTAACATGATCATCTGCATGCCCGCTTATGAATCATTGTGATTTCTTGATCCTGTCAGTTTATAGCCATTTAAAACATGGGTAGTTGTCACGAGTAACCTAGCGGAAAGTAGCCTAAATGGAAAAGTTGGTTTTAAATAGTTTTTGGTAATTACCATGAGGTTAAAGTTAATATATCTCACACAGCAGGAGGGTTTTATGGCCTTTTGCTTTGTATTGCCTACCCAGTTACCCCAGCACTCAGAGCGCAGGCAGACATGCGAGAAATTAAAAGTGAGGCCGAAACAGATTACTGCTAAGTGCTCCGATGTTCAGGCGAGAGAGGAAAGGTGGACACTAAAGGACTTTTAGAGAATCGGAGGACATCCGTATAGCCAAATAATAGATAAGGAAAAAATGGTCTGAAAAGAAAGAATCTCATATCTGTAATGGTCAGTCGTTCAGGTGCTGTACCTGGACCATTGAGTTTTGTGGTCCGATTCAATTTCCGATATTTTATTGTGGCACTGCCACTCCATTAAGACTCATTTCCTTCTCACCAGTAGTGACTTTGGGGGACCCGAGGAATTTGAAGGCCAATTGACTTTTAATATGAATCACGCTGTGATCGCCCCATTCTCGTCCCCCGCCTACAAATTAGAAATGGCAAACAGAGTGTCCCCATCAAAACGCTCTTTTCATGTTTTCCGTTCATGCACCAAAAGTCCCCCGGCTCCACCCCTACTGCAGCAGTGTGTGTGTCTGGGTTTCTCTGTGTGTGAGTGAATGGATCAGTACAGGTGACCAGGTAACGTGTTGCAGTATCATTATATTGCTGTCACAGACATTTTTGTTTAGGCTTTCACATTTCAAGAAGACATTATGGAGACAAATGAAAACTTTGTTTTGTTTTGTTTTGGTAGATTAACTGCACTTCTAAAGTCTTTCTTTAGCGACCTAGAGTGTACAAATGAATATGCAAGTAATATAAGTAGGATTATATATTTTATTTAATAAGTTATGATGGTTTTATACTACTTGTAAATGTAGCAAAAATGTAACCTACCTATGGAAAATGAAATGAAGATGATTGATTACTGTTATCTAACTTGTTAGTGAACAAAAATGCATTCATCCTTTCATTTACACTGCAAAAAAATAATTTAGTACTATTTTGTCTTATTTTCCAAATATCTTCAAAACAAGATAAGTTTAAGCAAAATTGAATATTAAGGTTTTTAAGAGAACATGTTTTCCTTGTTTTAAGCAAAAATATAACAATTTGAGGCTTATGCTTAAAACAACAAAAATAATAACAACATTTGTGCCAATCAGAAGAATAAAAACGTCTTGAATTAAATAATCATCTTATGCAGCTTTGCATTTCAAATAAATTAATCTTGTTCTTCCTATGACTGTTTAATATAATTGTAAGCAAAATTGCATATTAGTTTTGTTTTCAGATTATACCTTAAATCAAGATTTTTTTTTCTTGTTTTCAACAAAAATATATCAATTTGAGGCTTATGCCTTAAACAAGAAAAATATATGCCTAAACACTTTTTTAAGTCTTTTAATTAGAATTAAGTTTTTATCTTATAAAGTTTAATTTTTCAAGTAAATTAATCTTGTTCTAAAGACATTTAAGATAAATTTGAGCAAAATTGCATATTAAGATTTTTTTTTTACAGATTATATATCTTGAATAAAGAATTTGTTTCTTGTTTTAAGCAAAAATATAACAATTTGAGACATGCTTAAAACAAGAAACGTTCTAGTGCAGTAAGAAAAGAAACACTGAACTAAATCTTTAACTTATGCAGGTTTTCTTTTCAAGTAAAATCATCTTTTTCTAAAGATGTTTATGTATTTTTTTGACTAAAAACAGGACAAAAAAGTACTGATTAAGAAAATAAATTTTGCGATGCATTTTGAGTGCTTAAAGAGTCTTGCACTTATACACTGTAAAAAATTACCCATATCCCACTACTGTACACAACTTGTGACGACATGGAGCTCACCATGTCAGCTTTATATTGAGCCCCCTACAGGAAACACCTGCACAGTGCCTGCTGCCAGTCCCAAGGCCCTGAATCACAAATTCATTAGTATGCTCAGACACTCTCTCAGTGTGTGTGGCAGGAGCGGGAGCAGGCCGGCGTGGAGCAGAGGAGAGACAGTATTTTATCCACGCTTGCCAGTATTATGAGGCTGAGCGAGAGATTCACATTATCGTAATGGGAAAGTCAGCGCAGCAAGATGATGCCCCGGAGCCACACCGCTGATTGGCTGCAAAGCTGTATTTATAGATAGCAGAGTGAGTTCACTTTTAGTTCAGCACTGAAGAAGAGAAACAGGCCTGCCTGACTGCCACTTCATCTACTGCACAGAACACTATAAACTTAGCCTGGAGTTTAGGACTGCATACTTGGCCATGTGTGCTGTGCAGTAAAAAAAAATTGATGCCCATTTTCAGTCTTTGAAGTTTATGCAAATAACAACTCCATTGACCTTGGTGGACTTTAAAATGATCGTATTATTTCATATTTTTAAGATGCTAACAAGTTGTGTAAAAATGTTCTTTCTCCCCCTCTGAATTTAAACGGAAAAATAATGTTAAAATGTTGTAGTTAAAATGTTTATTGTTTTAGCTGTAAAGTACTTTACCATATATTGTGGAAATTTATATTTGACTTAACAGAGGCAAGTAAAATACTATACAAGTTATGTTTTTGCAACTAAAGTTTAACTATAAATAAATAAACAATTTAGTCAATCTAAAATTATATTCAACAAAACAATACAGTTCGCTCTAAGACGCATGGGTGTAAAGCATCACATTTGATAACATTTTATTTCTGTTCTGTTTCTGTTGTATTCTTTTCAGTTATGTGTATTAGAATAGTGTTTTAAGTTGCATGTTATGTTGTTTAATTGTTTATTGTTTTAGCATATCAAGTTAGGGGTCAGTAAGATTTTTTTTTTAATGTTTTTTAATGTGTATCTTATTCTCAACAAGGCTGCATTTATTTAATTAAAATACAGTAAAAACAGTAATATTGTGAAATATTATTACAATTTAAAATGTAATTTATTCCTGGGATGGCAAAGTTGTAATTATTACTCCAGTCTTCAGTGTCACATGATCTTTCAGAAATCATTTTAATATGCTGAGATGGTAGTCAATGGACATTTATTATTATTATTTAATATTATTTTATTATCAATGTTGAAAACAGTTGTGCAGCTTAATAGTTTTTGTGTAAACAGCTGTGAAATTTAGAAATCTTTTGTAACATTATAAATGTTTTACTCTCATTTTAATACAACAATTTGATGCATCCTTACTGAATGCACATTATATATATATATATATATATATATATATGTGTATGAGCAGCTTGACATTGTCTTTCTCCAATCATTGATTCTGTATGGAAAAGAGAAGCAAGAACATTTTGCTAAAGTTCTCCTTTAGCTTTCTGCAGAATAACGTGAGGAAGCAACATGAGGGTAAGTAAATGACGATGCAATTTACATTTTTGAATGAACTATCCCTTTAACTACCTAACTACCCCTGAGTTAGTTATACACCTCTTTGCTGTGTGCGCTCCTATATTTGCACAGCATGCATTCACGCACCAACAGGACTTGGGTACTGCTACAGAAATAAAGATGAGACAGTAAATAGTATGACACTAGCCACAGTGGTTTCCCCCTAATCAGCTGAATCCACAGTGCTAAGTCAGAGTTTCTGCCACTGAGGAGAACACTGCATCATTTAAAGAGGAACTCCCCTGGACATGCCTCAAAATTACTGTACAAGAAAAATGCTGACTCTGAAGAGACTTTTCATATTTTGGAATAATTTGCTCTGTGAAAGAAAAAAAGGATTGAGAGGAGAGAAGAAAAGGAGGCAGGCAGGAAGAAGTAAATCATAAGGTGGAAATGGCTCATTATGTTAGTGATGAGGCCGGGTAATGCCTGCTTGACCAGCCCAGCGTCTGTCAGACGAAGATGCATGGATTAACCCTTATCCATTACCCTTCAGCCATAGAAAGAGATGCCGCCAACAAATAGATATCACTTAAGTTACAGTAACATCACTGGATGCACTGCTGCATCCGTATGGACAGAATATTCAAGAAGTTTATTCTAATTTGTCTTAATGTTATGGTGATTTAACCAACTAAATAAATAAGTTATACATATATTAAACTGTGCACCTGGAATTCGCAACATCAAACTGTGTTAAATAAAGCCCATCAGAACGTCCTGGGCTGGTGTAATTAGAGCTACATTGTGTCTCATTGCAGGCCGAGTAATACAATGTTCACCATCCACGAGAACGCAGTCAGCAGTTTGTGTCACCTGTTTACCCCTGATGCTTTGCTCTCATTGGATTTGAATGGCTAATGAGGGATATAAGTGTGCATTTGTGTGTTGTAGCACTTATTTTATGTGCTTTGTGTTTTAACGGCACCTGTTTGCAGTGCATATTTGGGCAAGAGGGAAAAGAGAATGATATCCCACGTCACAAGTCTCTATCTGCTCCACCGGGACCATTGAACATTTTAATAACAAGGTGAGCATTGTTTAAAAGGCCCAGTTTTGCACTATTTGAAAGAGGATGTGCTATTATTGTTACTTTTCTAAGCAATCAGACTTTCAGTTTGTGCCTGGCAGGAGAAAAAACAAATGCTTTCAGGTTTAGAGTTTCATTTAAATATAATTTATTAAGGAATGACCAAGTAAAAACAGTTGCATACTTGCGTGCTGACAGTGCATTATCATGTTTATATGTATATTACCTCAAAGCTTTTGCTTAGAATAGACCTTAGTCAGGGTAGACGCCATGGTCAACTTAAGACGGATGAAAA